ATTGAGACAGTTTGAACTGTTTCATGGAAATGATTGAGACAGTTTGGTGAACTGTTTCATGGGAATGATTGAGACAGTTTGAACTGTTTCATGGAAATGATTGAGACAGTTTGGTGAACTGTTTCATGGGAATGATTGAGACAGTTTGAACTGTTTCATGGGAATGACTGAGACAGTTTGAACTATTTCATGGGAATGACTGAGACAGTTTGAACTGTTTCATGGAAATGATTGAGACAGTTTGGTGAACTGTTTCATGGGAATGATTGAGACAGTTTGAACTGTTTCATGGGAATGATTGAGACAGTTTGAACTGTTTCATGGGAATGATTGAGACAGTTTGAACTGTTTCATGGGAATGATTGAGACAGTTTGATGAACTGTTTCATGGGAATGATTGAGACAGTTTGATGAACTGTTTCATGGGAATGATTGAGACAGTTTGAACTGTTTCATGGGAATGATTGAGACAGTTTGATGAACTGTTTCATGGGAATGATTGAGACAGTTTGAACTGTTTCATGGGAATGATTGAGACTGTTTGAATTGTTTCATGGGAATGATTGAGACAGTTTGAACTGTTTTGTTGTAATGACTGAGACATAGTAATGTCTCTATTTCAGTCTTTATTAAATAGATGTCTTTTGTTTTATTTTCCACCTTCTATTGTATCAAAGTAGCTGACAATTGTCTGTGATTTTCAAAGTGTTATTTGTTACAGTATTTAGATGGTCAATATATACTGTTATAATTATATTAACTATTGTATAACTTAAATATTACTAAAGTAAGCTATATTAATTATTGTATAACATGTATACTGTTGTTACGTCTCCATTTGTTAATTGATTTTCCGTAACTTCGTTCCGACGAAACTTTAGCGACACAAGTCCTTACTTAATAAAACTGGTTTATTCTTTCCGAATACAACTTTACGATACACTTATTTTCAATATTCGCGCTAAAACAAACACTATATCAACGAACGTCAACAATACTTCTGACTGCAGTTCAATTACTCACTATCTACACACACATTATTCCGTCACGTTGTGAGCGTCTTATTTATATACCAAAAAAATATATATCTAGTAAATGCTAGGGCATTCACGAAGGAACAAGATACTTCTAGAAAATAGGTGGCGTCACACTAGTCACGTGACCTCGATGACGCAACACTGTTATAATTATATTAACTGTTGTACAAGATGTATACTGACCTTATTATCTGAGTTCACTGACTAATTCAGTAATCCATCCATTCTAGCCTAACTTGAGTTTCACTCTGCTCAAAATGTTCTAAATATTTGATGAACATTCCAGATGTTAAGCCACACCAATCACACTATGTTAAACTGTAACAGAACAACATAGATGTTTATAAACATATAGGTTAGAAATGTAACTTATTACAGTAACATTATAGTAAGTAACGATAAACAGGGATTTATGTAAGGTTAAATTGTTATAAAAAATGTTTTAACTAGAACAAATAATAAGACCCTTGATCTAAACATCTATAATACTATAAATTATATATAATGATATGAATATTTCATTATCTTACAGCTAAACCCTACATTATGGGGTGATGAAGTACTGACTGATGTTGGTGGTGTGAAGCTTGCTTTCCAGGTAACCAATCCAGGTTTATTATTTCTTACATTAAGGTATGTTGTCACCTGTTACACATCCAATATTATTTTCTTGTGGACATCTACCTTTACTACATCAGGAAATTTCTTGACAAATTTTAACTGTTTCCTGTTTTTACTATAATAACTTCAAGATATGCAATAGTGTTTTGTGCTTTTACTGTAGTAACTCCAAGATAAACACTCTTTCCTGCTTCTATTGTAGTAACTCCAAGATAAACAGTGCTGTTTCCAGCTTCTATTGTATTAAGTCCAAGATAAACAATACTCTTTCCTGCTTCTACTGTAGTAACTCCAAGATAAACAGTACTGTTTCCTGCTTCTTCTGTAGTAGCCCCATGGTATTGTTATTGTTTCCTGCTTCTACTATTATAACTCTTAAGATAAACAATACTGTTTCCTGCTTCTATTGTATTAAGTCCAAGATAAACAATAGTCTTTCCTGCTTCTACTGTAGTAACTCCAAGATAAATAGTGGTGTTTCCTGCTTCTTCTGTAATAACTCCAAGATAAACAATACTTTTTCCTTCTATTACTGTAGTAACTCCGAGACAAACAATACTGTTTCACGCTTTTACTGTAGTAACTCCAATATAAACAATACTGTTTCCTGTTTCTTATATAGTAACTCCAAGATAAACAATACCATTTCCTGCTTCTGTTGTATTAAGTCCAAGATAAACAATACTATTTCATGCTTTTACTGTAGTAACTCCAAGATAAACAATACTATTTCCTGCTTCTGTTGTATTAAGTCCAAGATAAACAATACTATTTCCTTCTTCTGTTGTATTAAGTCCAAGATAAACAGTACCATTTCCTGCTTCTGTTGTATTAAGTCCAAGATAAACAGTACTATTTCCTTCTTCTGTTGTATTAAGTCCAAGATAAACAGTACCATTTCCTGCTTCTGTTGTATTAAGTCCAAGATAAACAGTACT